CTGTACTCTGTAAATTATTTTTAAATTATTAGAGGTAGGTACCCAAGCAATCTTTCTTCAATCAATCATTCTTTCTTCAATTTAATAACACAGTGATTTTGATTTTTATTAAAATTGAGATACGTGATTTTTTTTATACAAGTATCTTCATTGACTACTAGGATGATGGAAGACGTTCAGATGATGGAAGGAGAAAAAATGAGAAAAAATAAATCTAGTGATAGTAACGACTAAATGATACAGCGTGTTCATAATATGTTGTTTCACTAAATTAAATGTAGTAAAAATACATCCGAATTGAGAACTTCCTTTGTTTTAAAGGCGGTTGAAAATGAAGAAGGCATCTTTATCTTTCTTTTAATAACTTTTTTGTGAAACCAATGCCCGATTACCGGAATCTTTTTTGTGTATTATTATATTATATTTTATTTTATAACTTCAAAGTTTCTGTCATGTTTTCCTATCGTTAATATTTATTTGATTTAAATTTAAATTTACACCTAATAAGAAATTCATATTCTATCTACGTACATCTAACAAATCCAGGGTTTATTCCCGTTTTACAAGATATAGTTAAGTGGAACGACATACAAGCTTATAGGTATTATCTGTAAATATTATTTACATGAAAAATATATATAGAGATCGGTAAAATTACTCTCGACTTCGTTCCAGTTCCATGCCACAGTACTAAAATTTTGCAGTACAAAACATTTAAACGCCGACTCTACACTTCACACATGCAGAATAATTACAATCACATACAAAGTGGAAACTGCTGAACGCACACATGAGTAAAACTTCGAACAAAAGTTGCCGCGGGGTCTGAGTTGACCAATAGCATGCATTTAACCCTTCACGAGGATTAGGTGAGCATTGTTTCAAATCTCCGAGTTTCGCTTTAACGTTTGAATTTGGAACGCGACGCCGCCATTTTGTTCATTTAAAATGGACGCTGTAACAATAGGTCACCATTGTTCGTGGAGAGTGCTAGACGGACGGGACTGTAGTGTAGTGAGTGAACGAAAGTCGCCATTGTTTTACCGTTTTCCAATTTTGAATTTTTTATAGCGGCAAATTAGGTTATGACCATATTTTATTTTTTTTAAAATAATATGTGTATTTTACTCCATTACAATTGTCATTTACATTACAGCACGTAACTCTGTCCTCAGATAAGATTTACATTCCAAAGATAGCGGCCTAGAAATTATGAAGCACCAGAAAGCGCCACACAACGAATAAACAAAAGTTATATTTCTATACTTGTTGAGAGTTTTTACTAGTTTAGCTGCTGTTTCATTTTGGTATATTCTTTATACTACGTTATCATGACAAAAATGCAGAAGCATTGTGGTAAATCGATTAAAATATCCTTAAAGGAGTATTAGTATAACTAAGTATGCCAAATTTTATATTTAGCACAATTAGGTAAGAAAATATGTGAAGCAGTTGTATTTGCATGGCTGTGCTTTGGTTTGAAGGGTGGGATATGGCGTGAATTTACAGGGTACAGAGGAATAACATCTGAGTTCTTAGGAATGGCAACGCATGGGGGGGTATCATGGGCGAAACAGTATACTCTGTTATGTCCATGGTACTGCTCATGTCTATAGGCGACGGTTACCACTTTTCATCAGGTGGGCCGTCAGCTTGTTTGCCATTCTAAGTTGTATAAAAAAAAAAAACATAGACAACGCCGTGGGATAAAGTTAGTGAATAAATATTATTTAATTTCTAAATATAGTCACAAGTTCGTACATTGGCATTTGAGTTTCAATATGAACTTATATAACTCACCTTTGGATAATTTCAAACACGAGGCAAATCCACAAACCAGAATTTCTAGTCACCATTGTTACCTTACAAACAGCATTTTGGGGTCACACAACTGGACGATCCCATTGAAAGTACACACCAACTGCGCGGTGGGCCAACAAAAAAATATATTACCCGATTTAGTCCAATATTGTCTAATTTTCGGTAATAAAGTTTTGTCAACAGAAGGCGCGATGGACCCTCACCATTATTGTAGGGTTAACATTGACAAATTATCGCTCGTTGTTCAAAATAAGTGATGATGTTTGAGTTATAGATGGAGATCAATTAATTTCATATTACATATAATTTTATTATATTTTTATTTATTTATTTATTAAGATATTTTTTATTGACCAAAAGAAAATATGGTACAAAAGACGGACTCGATGTTAATAGCATTCTCTACCAATCCACCTTTTATTTCAGCCGTTAACTGTCCACTGCTGGACATAAGCCTTTCTCATAAGGGGAGTTTTGTCAGAGAATTGCCACGTTTGGCAGGCGGATTGACAACCAGATCACATTACTACTCGTTATTACTTTTTTGTTTTCACTAACTTTCTGTATTACTTACACCTATTTCGCCAACTGTAATCCGATTTTGATGGTTCTTTTTTGTGTAAAACAATGTAAAGAACATATCGATTGTATGGTTAGTAACCAAGAATAACAGCATAGATTATGCAATATTATACTGTACTTAAACCCTATAGAATAATATTTTACATTACCAAATTTTACCACGGGTTCGAATCTAAATCTCTTTAGACAGAAACCACTGTTCACGTCATTAAGCCGACAGGATCGTTAAAAATGTATTTACTTATTTAAAGTGAAACGGGGAAAAATATTACCAGTACGTAACACGGCTCGGTTAGACAAAGGGCCCTTTTACCCGATTATCCTCTAATAAGTTCTATCTCTTTGTATGTTATTTCCACTTGGACACGCTTCAGAAGGTCCACCTGATGCTGTAATGTTATTCACAGTAAATAAAGAAGATAAAAGGAAATACACATTATATTAATACATTGATTATTTTTTATTTATTTATTTTTATTTTATGAAAATTAACTAAAACATTATAAATTTATTGTTGTAATAATTATTCACAGTTAATAAAGAAAATAAAACATTATATTAATACATTGATTATTTTTTATTCATACCTTTTTTAACTGAAATAATATAATTTATGTTTATTTTTATTTATTTTTATGTTATTATAATTTACTAAAATACTCTAAAATTTTTATAATAATTAAAATAGCTAAAATTAGGAACGATATCGCATACCTAAGCATTTTCCTGGATTTTTTTTAATGGGTGATAATGAAATGGTAAACCCGCCTGCGCTGTCGGTATACGCTGGCGGGGGACCAGTGAGGGATGATATGTGATATGTGATGAAAGCAGGTCAGTTAGCCCATCGTGACGAATTCCACTAGAGTTAACCACAATGGTTTCCAGGGGGAACCGCGTGGAGGTCGACCTGATAGGGTATATTGCTAGCAATGGGTTCATTAAACCCTATTACTAACAAGCCCTCCCCCCCCCCCATTTTCCTGGATTCAATTCTCAGTTGATGCATTTTAAAAGATCTTTTTCTAAATTGGTTCTGATCTGAATATTCTAGGGTGCACTCCCAGGGTTTCTTTGTCTAATTTCTCATGTCCCAATAAAGGTAGCTTGAAGCTAGGTATGTTTATGCAGTAGATACTTTTTATTATTATTTTTTATATTACAAAAGTGGCAAACATACACATTTACCATTCGCACAGATATAAAAAAGTGATCTTAATATTTCTTACTTAACAACTTTTTTGCTTATTAGGTAACAATACTAATGTTGTATATACGTACAAGAAGAAAAACCACAGGGATACAAGTGTAGAGTTGATTTGTTAAACAGTGAAATATATAATTTTTCGTAACTAAAAACAGTTCTAAGATTTCATGTATATAATATTATATAATTATTAAATTATTTTTTTACTATAGATTTATTGTTTCGTTTTAGATAATATAAATAAAATGCTTAAGGATTATTTTTTGGCGTCGCTTCCTTTCTCGTGGGTGTCGTAAGAGATTACTAAGGGAACTAAACAGTCGAGAGACCACATCTCTGTTATCCATAACAGCGTTCCATTTAAAACATCACCAAACTTGACAAACTGCGGTTGCCAATTTCCTCAGCCAAGTGCTATAAGTGACAAATGGACAGTTAACAGCTGTTGTGATAATTATGATGATTTTATGATACAGCTTTCTTTAATATTATTCTCAAATGGAATTAATTTCGACAAGTATGTATGTATATTAGAATCCACCGTAATTGTATGTGAAGTTACATTCCTTTTAGTTACTTGTCATGCTTGCAAAATTAAAAAACTAATAATCGATTAAACTATTTATTTATATGGACAATACATCATTTTCCATATAACTTTGTAAAACTATTAAAAAATTATAACCTTGTAATCTAGATAAGTTATCGTAAAATATTTAAAATATTTCTTAATATTAGTCTATGTTTAATAAGAATTGTTTTGTTTTACAGATGTGAACTCTACGACTACGTCTCTGTGGCAAAAAGGCTATACAAGATATCTCGTAGGCAGAAATTAACATTTACATAGAAACGACCGCTTTTAGACTATTGGACGACGCGACAGTCCGCTGAATTTACGTACATTTACCCAAACACTGTATATGGAACCCAATTATAGTCTTTTGGGGTTGCGTTCCGAAATATTCATGAAATCCCATCGGTCCTCAGGAGTGACGATGTAAGTATAAGTGGTACTGGAACTGTTGTGGTGAAAGGACTGTAAGCTGATATAAAAACAGGGTGTCTTAAAGATGGTAATTTAATTATAATAATATACACCAATACAAAGAAAAAAAAGAGTAAAAAGGAACAAACAAAATATGACAATTTCTATATGTGACAATTGTTTTTGTCTATAAATTCAAGAGGAATCCGAAAAGGTGCGTCGTACAACGGCTGGCACAGGATATTCTGTAACATTCATATAAACAATAAGAGGAAACATTTTTTGTTTGAACTAATTTTAAATCAGTTAAGTTTCGTCAAAAAAATTATTAACTGATCACAAAAAATGATTTGTAGAAAGCTACATTATCAGTAAGTAAAATGGGCTAAAATTTATCAAAAAAAAAAAAACCGCACGTAAACGAAGCAGGTTGCTAGTTATACTGTAATTGTAGGCGACAGTTATCATTTCATTAAGTGGCCTATCAGCTTGTTTGCCTTTACCAAGTGAAAAAAGAAAAAAAAAATAGAAATGCTAGTAAACAATCATGTCATTTCTGTATTGCTTTAATTAGTGCAATATTGCACCTGTGAGTGTACGAGAATTGGCACTTTTACCTTCATTGTCTATAGTGTTGCATGCTTTAAACTTTTTTAATGACGTATGCCAATTAATAGAGGTAGGGTACTTAACGTTGTGATTGGCATTGCGATTACGTTTGGCGCTTTCCAAGTGATATTAATTTTTATTTGTTCTATACATAGAATGGAATTATTAGTATTAAATAGTACTTTATTAAGCATCATCTGGCCTCCAGATGGACCGTCGACTTGTTCACAGCCGTTAAGTGTCCATTACTGAACATAAGCCACACCCTTGGGGATTTTGCCAGTAGTTGCCATGTTTGGCAGGTAGGTTGACAACTGCACTTAGGCTTTAATGATGTTTTAAGAGGGAGGTTGTTGCCCATTGTCTCGTCCATTAAGTTTCCTTAGTCGCCTCATTCGACATCCACGGAAAAAGAAGGGGTTGCCTGTTCGATGGCAGAACCACATAGCAAAATGATTTTAAATAGTAACTTGCTTGTTTGCTAATTTTTTTTTTTATTTCCGCCATTGCTAGCAATATTATATCTGGTCGACCTTCTCGCGGTTTCGCCTGGAAACCATCCTGATCGATTTTTGTCGAGATTCATCAGTATGGGTCAACTAGACTGACTTCATCCTCATTTGTCATCACTCACTGCTACCTCGCCAGCGTATACCGATAGCGCAGGTGGAGTTTTTTTTTTTATGGGTGAAAATAGTATGGTATCCCCGCCTGCGCTAACGGGATACGCTGGCGGAGCACCAGTGAAGGCTGATAGATAAAAATAAAAACAGGTCAGTTAGCCCATCATGATGAATTCATCAGGAATTAACCATGATAGTTTCCAGGGAGAACCGCGAAGAGGTCAACCTGGTTGGGTATATTGCTAGCAATGGGATTCTCAATTTCCATTACTAACAATCCCTTTCCCCCCGGATCACGCAGGGGTTATCATACCTTTATCATTCCTTAAAAAAAACTACTGAAAAATAATAACAGTATAAGGTGAAATGATCACAATATATTTGTACTTGAATATTTAATGTGCCATTTATAAGAAATAGAAAATCGTTCATTCAGTCTGTACGTGCACGCTTTTCGATAAAACCATAGGTGGTTTTAAGAAGCGAAGAGCACTTAGGGGTGACGGTGTTATGCCAAAAGTAACCATGTTGACTGCCCCAGTAACGGGAGTGACACTTCATTACCTTTTTTATTTATAACAACTTTACACTTAGTGAAAATGGCAGATTTAGACCATATGGCGTTATCTACCAGTCGACTGTTTAGCAGGAATAACAAAAAATATAATTGACAGTGCAACGTAATGAGCAATTAAATAGAAAAATCAAAATTAATATTAAAACATTAATTTTAAAATAACCTATATAATACTCACATTATACATATATTATACATTGAATAAAAAAAGAACTAATGAAACAAAAAAATAAGAAGAAACTCATTGTCTGTTCTCAATTTGTTATTGTTATTTTTTTTTCATAAAATAAAATAAAGCAAAACAAAATGTGGGGAACATAACACTCGATATGCACAAATATTTTGATTTGGGTCAAATCCGAAATTACGTTTGCAGTTAAAGTGTAATAATGTAATCCCATATTCGATTCTCTTATTTTTAAATCTAATATGGAGGCGTTCAAGTATTACGTAACACAATTCGAGGAAAGGGAGCTTTTGTAAAACGTTACGATGCGTTACAGGAGTGGGAGTGGAGTTCGAATAACACGTTACGTAACATTGATTTTTTCTTAATTATATAATAAACTAGAGAATTTAAATCTTCCAAGTCGCCAACTCTTTTTGTTTATGTTTTACGGAGAATACATTGTTTATATCGTTTAGGGAGCGGGAGAGGCATGCAAATAAATGTTACGACGTGTTACATAGTGGGGAAAAAAAGGTGAAAAATCTTCAAAAATTGCTTCAAAAATACTTGAACGCCTTCTAAAATAATTTGTCTATTATTAGAAAAACATATAATTTATTTTTGCATCTTTAGTGTCTTTTTAATCTATTTAGATATTAATATGATCGGCGAATTGTGGGCATAGCGAATTTTACATTAATCACGATGACAACAGTCTACAATTGCCTTTGACTAATTAAGAAATCGTGAAAATATTTATTTATTTATTTATTTAATTTTCATGGTGTTCTTCTGCGTAACACCATCCAGCCGATGTCGCTTGCAGGTTGTCATTAAAAGGCTTTTAATTCTTGATGCCTCCACATTCACATCCTCAATGCTCGGATCGGATCTGGAACAAAATACAAAACTGTATGTGACTATGTATGTATGAAGACTTTGTAAGAAATAATGTATTGTACCTACAGTGTACCTCCTTTTGTTATTACAATGACGCAGAAGGAGGTATCAGTGAGTATTCATAAGTGAGGATGAAGTAAGATCAATAAACCCATCATGATGGATTCATGGATAAATTGGTTTTTAGTTTTTTTTTTTTTTTATAAATCTGTAACATAGGTTTATTGAACTACTGAGGTGGCAAACAAGCATACGGCCCACCTGATGGTAAGCGGTTACTGTAGCCCATGAACGCCTGCAATATATTACGCGCGCGTTGCCGACCCTGAAGAAACCTCGTTATCCCCCATTTTCGAGAACCCCATGCTGTAAATGGTAACATATTTTTAAAAATAACTATACATATATATACAATAAGTATCAAGCTATAGTATATTTTAATGAGTGATAACGAAATGGTAACCCCGCTTGCACTATCGGTTAAACTGACGGGGCACCATTGATGGATGATAGGTAAAAACAAAGCAGATCAGTTAGCTCGTCGTGACGAATTCAACAATAAATCAATTACGATGGTTTTTAGGGGGAACCCCGTGGTGGTCGACCCTACAGGGTTTGCTAGCAATGGGGCCATTCGTCCCTATTACTGATAATCTCTTTCCCCCATCAAGCTATACTTTACTATATACTTTAATATGCCGTACACTGATACCAATTGTTTGATCCTGTAACGAGTCTCTAAAGAAACTCAGAATATACAAAATCGAGCTATTTCAAAAAAATTCATTCCCTAAATTGGCCCAAACGAGAATCGAACCTGTGACCATATTAACAAAAAGCACTTTGCAAACCATAGCCCAACAGAGAATTATAATTATTTTGTGAATATAAGTTTTTATACAACTTAGAATGGCAAACAAGCTGACGGCCCACCTGATGGTAAGTGGTAAACATAAAAAAATCATTATACAGCTATAAAAATTTCCACTATTTATTATTAAGTCCTATTATTATATTATTAGAGTAGCTCGTGTTGAGCTACTCTAATTCACATAATATTAGGACGCCATGTAAACACCATACCTATTTCCACGAACAAGCCTAAGGACGTCCACATAACAATCTTTGTAACGTATCGCATAAAGATCTTTTGTTGACATACCGAGTCGGTACCCCATTTTGTACGCACTAGCTCATTAAAGAGCATCCCACGTCATATCCTTCCGACATCTTGTTTTGAAATGCTAGAATGTGAGCTCTTTATATCGATATATTTTAATAAGGTTCTTGAGATACGAGAGACCTTTTATATTTTAACGTAATAGACATTCATATGGTTATGTTACTTCGTTATGACAAATTTTTAATTGTTGAATGTATTCTCGACCGACTTCGAAAAGATTCTCCATTTATTTATTTATTTTTAATAAACTTTAATGCATAGAAAAATTCTATGTACATTCGATTCAATCGAGAATAGGTCTCCCTTTCTTTGCCCGTAAGAGAACTTAATGTTCGAGGGATGGACAGGAGCGTTCTTCTTAAAGCATAATTAAACCTAACTGCGATTGTCGACCCGCTTGCCATTTTGCTATGTGGTTCTGCCATAGAACAGACAACCCCTTCTTTTTCCGTGGATGTCGAATGAGGCGACTAAGGAAACTTAATGGACAAGATAATGGGCAACAACCTCCGTCTTAAAACATCACTAAAGCCTAAGTGCAGTTGTCCACCTGCTTGTCAAGCATGGCAACTACTGGCAAAACCCTTATAGGGCATGTCTATATTCAGCAGTGGATAGTTAAAGGCTGATATGATGATATGATAACATGCAACTAAACACACATAACTTAAGAAATAAAAAAACCATTGTAGTTAGGCTGCGATGAATTTAAAAGTATGTGATAATATACTGTGTTACCAACATATTTGTATTTAAAAATAAAAATCAATAATTAAATTGTGTACCACAAAAAAGTCGACTTCAATTTTGATTAAAAACAAGTTGTTTCGATATAAAAACTAAACTATTAAACTGGTTTGGATAAAGATTCTATAAGACCAATCTGTAAGAAAAAAAAATTTAAATAGGTTTACAATTAATGGAGTTACGAGCTCCTTCTTTTTGAAAATTATATATATTTTGTTTATACCACTGAGGTGGCAAACAAGCATACGACCCGCCTGATGGTAAGCAGTTACCGTAGCCTATGAACGCCTGCAATACCAGAGGTATTACGCGCGCGTTGCCGACCCTGAAGAAACCTCTTTACCTTCCTTTTAAAGAAAAAAATTATATATTAGTTAATAAGTTTTATAAGTAGAAGAGGGCCCAAGACTTCGCGACACAGGGAATCCTAGTGTGAAGTCTTGGGAACAAATGTAAAATTGTAACATGTATCTTTAGATTTAATAAATATTATTATTATTATTTAGATTTCTACAAAATTCACATCTTCCCTCTTAAGAAGAGGAGATGGCAACTAACCCCCGGCCCAGTCGGCTAAGGTTCAGGACTCCAGGGAGAGAAACCGGCGTACAATGCGGGCAGTATCTAAGAGCACCGCTTTCTGCATCTTTCCCGGGAGTGATATAATTGTATCTGTATTGCATTTTAAATGAACATTATATTTTTATGAGAAAATAAATGTTCTAAACTCATTACCCATCAACAAATAAGTGGCAAAGAAAAAATAGGTTTAAAAAAAATAATAAAGACCCATATCCATTGTAGACAAGTCCGCATACAAGCATTGCCGGCGTTTCCCCGACTTTCCGTTTGCAATGACACTTTGTGACGACTCAGTTTTTAATTAGCGTGTTTTTCTTTGTGGCGGCCCGGTGCAAATTAGCCTGTGATGTGAAGTGCAGTGTGGCTTGAGCCCGCGCAAAGCTCTCACAACGCGCTCTATCATTGGCCCCGTTTTCATTGATGCTGTTTTTTTGTGTGTGTGCACGGAACATTAGCAAATTACGTGTATTTTTTTTTGTTGACTGTTTTTTTTTTTTATTTTTAATTGAAGTCATTAAGCATCTTTACGCTTGTAGCTATTTGTAACATATTTTTTTTAATGGGTGATAATGGAATGGTAAGCCTGCCTGCGCTATCGGTATACACTGGCGGAATACCAGTGAGGGATGATAGGTAATGATGAAAACAGGTGACGAATTCCACAAAAATTAAACACGATGGTTTGCAGGGGGAACTGCATGGAGGTTGACTTGATAGGGTATATTGCTGGCAATGGGTCAGTTAAACATCATTACTAATAATCCCTTTCTCCCCCTTTGTAACACATTACATACGAACTTTATATCCATTACTTTGTACGCGTGGATTTCAGAAGTAGAAAAACCAATAAATAGACTACTTCTGGATGGCGTATCAAGGTAAAACATATACCAGGTTTTAAATTAGTTCAGAAATACAACCGTTTAATACCTACAATCGCATCCAATCTGGCGCAGTAGTTTTTTTATGATGCTGAACAAAAATACAGACAGACAGAGAAAATTTCTAAAAAATACTATTTACTTCTATTGCTCTTACTGAGACCCTTCATATTAATTTTTGTTGAAAAACCTCTCATTACATCATCTAGTTATAATTTTATTATATTAGTAACGTTAAATATTTTATGCTTTTATTGGAGTATTAATATTGACAATGCTCTTTATTTTATCTCCAAAATGCCATCAGAAACAGTTACAGAAAAAAAGTAAAATACATCTGTTTGAGAGATTAAAAATAAAACTATGTGCCCTACACCAAGCCATTTGGCCGGTATAGTATTACTACACCGGCCAAATGGTATAGTGGATAAATGGTAAAGTGAATTTAGATAATAGTTTAGTAATTTTTTTTTTTTCTATACAACTTTGTTTTATATTTATAACCAATTAGCGCTTTAAAGGCTGAACCAATCACTATATTTAGTACACACATACTATATTGGATTAAGAAGAAAATAAACTACTTTCTATTCTTTCTTCTAATAGAAATTTCTAATAGAAAGAAAGAAAGAAAGAAATAATTTAATCGAAGAAGCAGTAAACATAATCAATAAATATATCCTGGTCATGCGAACGAAGCAGCGGGTAAATACTAGTGAAAGGATATTTATAATTCTCCTTCTCTCCTACTAATAAATTTGCTACTAGCTTATAAGTATTATTTCGAAAAATTGTTTTGTACGAATAAGTATCAATGTTAATTGAAATTTCTTAAAAGTGTCTTAAATTAAAAAAAAAAAAGTTCGCAAACATGCCGCCACATATAATAATTAAAACTTCATACTATATTTCATACAAACAAAAACAAATATCACTCAGAGGCATTGTAACACATTAGAATTTTAAGTTCTATAGTTTCCGTGCGAGATTAACAAATCCCAATCACGGGAGAGATTCGCGTATTCATACCAAAGTTTGCCGCCCCTGACTGCGGGACGGAAGATGGCGGGGCGCGCGCGTGCGAGCGGGACGGGGCTACACCGAATTCGGGGGTTGGTAGTACATGGGTCTGACATAATGATATATTAATTTCAGCGAGCTCCCATTGTTTCGTTAGGTATTTTACGGTGTGACGCATGGTCATTATGTTTTCATAGTTTCATAAAGGCTGAAATTCAAAGGCTTGCTGTTTGTGATGCTCGTATTGTGTGTTTAATGATCGAAGTATAACGGTGATAAATTGCGCCAATTGTCGCTCAAATGGCGCTAGTGTCGAAATTAGGGTTCCGTTACGAAGACTACGTGTGTAATCTACTTTTGATTCGTATAAGGAGGATGCTTGTTGTGGCACGCGACTTTGTCCGTGACTTTTAGTAATATTTTTTTATACAACTTAGAATACCAAACAAGCTGATGGAAAGTGGTAACCGTCGCTTATAGACATGAGCAGTATCATGGACATAACAGAGTATACTGTTTCACTCATGATACTCCCCATGCGTTGCCATTCCTGAGGACTCAGGTGTTGCCATATCCTGC